TCAACAAATATGTATTAAGTCCCTACCATGCACCAAGGTCTAGACACTGAGAATACACAGAAGAATAAAGTAAATGGCATTTAGTTTGTGAAATTTGTAAATATGTGTAAGTCAAGATAAAAATGTGAACAAGGGATCACATATATGAAGAGATTAAAAGAATGATGGAAAAATACTAGGTACAACTCTATGCTAATAAATTTTAAGATCAAGATGGTAAAAAAAAAAGATCAAGATGGTGTGGTAATATTTATGAAAACATAAATTACAAATGACTCAAGAGGAATTAAACTATCATTAACCATAAAGAATCAAAATTTGTTATAAAGTGAAACCCCAAATAGGTGGCAGGCCTACATGGTTTAACAAACATATTTTAACCAATTTTTAACATCATGTAACCTGACTTAATTAAGAGATACAATTTTATTTTATTGTTAAAAAGATGTAAATATTTAAAGGCACTCAAAATTAACACACAAATACAAAGTATTTTTATTTTATATTTCAACTGTTGAAAGAAACCATAGTTCCACTCTTTTGTCCTTCAATATAGAGAGAATATTCTTAGTGCCACCTCCCTGCCATCTATTGGCCACCTCACTTACCCATGAAGGGAAGAATGTATTGTTTGAGGGGTGAATTTTGGCTAAGGTAATGGGCATAAGTGACCCCCCACACCTTCCCTTTCTCTCTCTTTGGCATCTGTTTATCTAAAAAGTATGCTATATGGCATGTTATCTGCAATAAACTCAACAGCAAATTGGCTGTGCTTCTTGGATACCTATGGTTTTCCAGCACCGTCAGTAACTGGCTAGGTAACTCTAATTATGGGATCTAGTTTAAGAAAACTCATTATTTTATAACATCTAATCTATGGTTTTTCATGTGGCCTTTGCTTGCAATAGAGGATATTTTTTTTTTCTTGGAGACAGAGTCTCATTCTGCTGCCCAGGCTATAGTTCAGTGGTGTGATCATGGCTCATTGCAACCTTGAACTCCTGGGCTCAAGTGATATCCTCCCACCTCAGTCTCCTGAGTAGTGGAGTAGCTGGGCCTACATGTGTGTAATACCACGCCCATATAACTTTTCTTTTCTTTTTCTTTCATTTTTTTTTAAGTAGAGATGATTTCTCACTAAGCTGCCCAGGCTGGTTTCCAACTCCTGAGCTCAAACAATCTTTCTGTCTTGGCCTCCCAAAGTTCTGAGATTGCAGGCATGAGCTTCCATGCACAGTAAAGATGATAATATTTATTAGCATCTGCTTAAACGTGTTGTCCCCATCAAAAGTAATATTTGTTGAACTTCCTTAAAACCCAATACTTCCTCATACCTTTTGCTTTAAACCTAAAAATTTTATTTTAACATTTTTCTGGAAGAATAATTACCCAAGCAAGTCAACTAAATTTGAGGCAAATATAATAGAAAGTAGAATGTGAGTGCTGCTTTTCCTTATCAGACAGATTTATAAATAAAAGAACATGTCACTACTAAATGATATGATCTGTCACTTTATGCAGTATATCAGATAGCTATAGGTAGTATGAAACTTGAAAAGTATCAGGCAGAGGATGAACACAATAAAGTTTTACGTGCAACTTCGTTTTGAATTCTTTATCATTCCCTCAGCTACACTATAAACAATGTCTATTCTGAATCCATTTTTAATTGTCACCAAGAGAAGAGAGAGAACACCAGAACAGAGAGAAGTAAACTCTTCACCTCAGCTGTCAAGTGAACTCAGGATATCAAAGGACTATGTAATGTGTTGTCAGAGGTCATGCTCTTTGACCATTATATTTCCCCTTACTACACGTTACTGGTGGCAGGTATTGTAGTTACCCCAAGTTACCAACAGTGTATCCGAATGTGTCTGCAGCAACTTCAATATTTGCCTCCTCAGAAGAAAGAATTCTACTGAGGAGCATAAGGCAGAAGAAGACGGAAGTGAGTTTCAGAGCAGAAGTGGAACGTTTTTTTTTTTTTGTTTTTGTGTTTTTGAAAAAAAAAAAAAAAGGTTTTAGAACAGGAAAGAAAGGAAAGTTCACTTGGAAGAGATTCAAGAGGGCGCTTGAGGGTCAAAGAGAGCATTTAACCTTTAATACTAGGACTTTATAGACTCACCTCTTTTCCATGATTCTTCCCTTAGGCTGGGCTTCCCCTGTGTGTGCGTATTCCCCTTTACACTTGGGAACTGAGCATGCGCCAGTGTGTTTAGGAAGTTGTACACATGCCCATCTGAGGCTTTCTTCTTTTTTCCTGTGGAGTGTCCCTGGAAGATTATACTTCGCCTTGTCTCTTAATATGCTTGCCCAGGAAGTTCTTCTCCCTGGCATCTCTATTCAGTTAACACTTTAATGTTAATAGCTGTGGATCATCAGGAGATTATCTCTCTCCAGTGCCCCGGCTACCATATTGTCATTTTTAGCAAGGCAGAGTGAAAATTATTGAACCATCAACTGACATTCCAGGGGTGAGGGAAGAGCCCTCTCCCACCCCACTCATCCCCATCCAACTTCCTGTAACATTATACACATTTGCCTTCTGTGATAGTAGATCTAAATTTCTAAGCCCTGAATATTTGGATTTCACCTTCATTTAACTACTGTTTATGCATGCACATATCACTTCCTTGTATCCTAACACCATAGGGATTAGTTGCAGGTCACATGGAACACTGCTTACAGTTCTTACCTTCAATAGTTATAATTGCTTTTCTAGTCCTAAAATCCACTTCAAGAAATGGAATCCGAGCACAAACCCATGCCATTGACAAAGTTCAAGCAAGTTTCTTCAGGACAGAAATGTGTTTTAAAATTGTGTACGCTTTACAATGAATCATAGGTGGTGACTAACTTAAAATGCACAATTGAGTTATCACAATAGAATAGAAAAATTGGCCCTGGATTATTCCATTTTTAAGAACAGATTATATTATATATAATATGATATAATAAATTCATTATACATGTTATATATATAGCTATATAACATATAACTATATATAGTATTATAACCTCATCCTTGAAATCAGGGCCAAAGAGAACATGACTACAATGGAACTAAATGTTGATATTTTACAATTTGATTGAATTTTGAATTGTCCAATTATTTTAATTTAATAATATATTTTATTTAGATAATATCTAGCACATTATCATTTCAATGCATCATCAGTACAAAATATTATTAAGGCATTTTAATTTTGGGGGTACTAAGTCTTCCAAATCTGATGTAGGTTTTACACTTTACAGCACATATCAATTCAGTCACTAAATTTGTATCAGAAATACTTGCTTTCTATTTACATTTTATAAAATTTGCATTAAGAAAGTAGATTCATATTCCCAAATTTTTCCAAAAAGGTTTCCAAAAATTGAATTGAATGTTTAACTATAATTTAAGTCAAATTAAATGGAATTAAAAATTCATTTCTTCAGCTGGACTAGCCACACATCAAATACTCAGTGGACAGCACAACACCAGACCCAACTCCTGACTCTCTTCGCCAAGTTTTATCAACCTTTTCCTCAGAATATCTTTCACAGCTACTTCAATCCACTTCCCTCACCCCTAAAGTCTTAATAATTTTTTACTCCTATAAGACAATGTTAATTATTCTTCCACTAAAAATATAATTTCAACAGTTAACATGTATTGACCACTTAGTATGCACCAGAAACTTTCAACAGTATTCATGTAATAACTAACTTGTCATATTATAGTAATTAAATGAATGCTATTAATACTCCCATTGTAAAGATGAATAAATGGAGGTGTGAGGAGATTAAATAATTTATCCAAGGTCATACAGTTACTGAGTGGAGAAGCTAGAACTGAAACCAGCCCAGTCGGTCTTATCCAGACCTCACACTCTGTATCTTTCTTCTGCCTCTCTCACATATATACCTAAAAGTAACAGTTTAAGTGATGAAATTGCAGATGATTTTGTTAACTTCTTTTTGCTTCCCTATATTTTGTCTGTTAATAAAATATGTCACTTTTGTAATTTTTAAAGTTGTTTAATAAGTCAAATAAATATCAGTTTAGTTTGGTTTTAGTATATTCTTACCTTGAGACAGGAGAATAAATAAAATGACTTTTTCAGTGTCTTCTCGTCCCAGGAACATATTATTCTTTATCCCCCTCTAAGATAAACAAAAACAATACACATTACTACCCTGTCAGTACTTCATGCTAAATGAAGAGTTTTAATTTTTTCTCTGGTTTAAACATCCAACCTCAATCATTCCAAACCAAAGGAATCACTTTAAATCATATACTTTTGTAAAAAATATTTTCTGAAAGCTCAAGGGTCTTGAATGTTTTCTAGATCTACCCATTTCCCTGTGAAGTTTGTATTTCACCTTTCTTTAACTACTGTTTATACATGCACGTATCATTTTCTTACATCCCAATGCCATAGAGACCAGTTGCAGGTCCTCAAAATATGTGTGAGAATCAAACACAAGAGGAAATAGAAAAGCCTAGAAACTATGCTCATACAGTGACGTAGATTGCTAGGGGTTCAGGACGTTTTCTTGCCTACTAGAGGGGCTGATCCCAAGGAAGTCAGAACTAGGAAAATAGATCATTCTGCACCCTAAAGATGTCTTTCTTCATTTTGGCTAGTAACTTTTACCATTCTCTCACTGCAAAATCCTGCCAAAAGTCCTCAAGTCACCCCTCACCATTACCCTACACCTTCAGTCATTTGTCAAATTCTCTAACCCTGTGGTCCCCAAATTTTGGGGCATCAGGGACTGGTTCTCATGGAATGCAATTTTTCTATGAACTTGAGGGAGGGTCAGCGGTGAGCAGAGCATTTCTGGATGATTCAAAATATTACATTTATTGTGCTTTATCATTTTTGTTATTATTATACTGCAACACATAATGAAATAATTATACAATTCACCATAATATAGATTCACTGGGAGCCCTGAGCTTGTTATGCTGCAACTAATGGTCCCATCTCAGGGTGATGGGAGGCAGTGACAGATCATCAGGCATTAGATTCTCATCAGGAGTGCACAACCTAGATCCTTCGCAGGCACAGTTCACAACACGGTTCACAGTCCTGTGAGAATCTGATGTGCCTGCTGATCAGACAGGAGATGGAGCTCAGGTGGTAATGTGAGCTGATGGGGAGAGGCTGTAAACACAGATGATGCTTTGCTCACTCCCCTGCCACTCACTTCCTGCTGTGTGTACCAGTTCCTAATAGGCCACAACCTGGTGCTGGTCTGTGGCCCCGGGGGTTGAAACCCCTGCTGTAATCTCCACCTTCAGCATGTTTTTCATGTCCACATCTTTCCACTTGTCCCACTGCCACTACCCTCATCCAGTCTCCTTGTTAACCTTCTACTTGACCTCTGTCTAATCTACTGAACTGGCATCCTCACCGCATCTTTCTGCTCTCAACTTTTGGCGTACCTCAACCACGTTTACTTCATATTCATGTTAATCCACTCTGATCAGGCTGCTATCTATGCCAGAAATCCTCCAGGGATTCTGTACATGGTGGTTTCTAACTTTCTAACCTGATCATTTTTGTATGCCACACCTACTGCAAATTCCAACCCTTATCGTTTTTGTGCCACGTACTAGTCTACACTTCAGCCAACTGTTTTCCTTACAACTCCTAGGGTCATTTGCCTTTTCTAGCTGTGGACCTTCCTCAAGCTCTTCCCTGTATCAGAAAGTATGCTTCCTCCACCTCTGACCATTGAAATGCTACTAATTAATGCAGAAGCAGGTCAAGTGACAAGTGTTCAATACATTTTTTTTCCTCTTTTCCTGTCGAACTTTATATTGCCACTTCTGCACAGTTCACCACATTAATCTCATGTCATCACCTACATGTCATTATTTGTGTATTTAACTTTTCTGCCTACCAACATTTCTTAAGCACCTCTGATATGTCAAGGGTATGTACTAGGTATTTTATGTGTGTTACCTAATGTAATTTAATCCTTACAACAGCCCAATGTGATAGACAACACCATCCCCATTTTACAGATCAGAAATCTGATACTGTCAGAAGTTAATAAACTTGCTTGAAGTAGCATCCTTACTAAATAGCAGAGTCATCACTCATTCCAAATATTTTATTTAATCCACATCTGCCAGGTTCCTAGGCCCCTTGGGCTTTTTGGTATAGGTTGGGAAGTCCCTTTGGGAGCAATTAGCGCTGGAGCCTCAGGACAAGGCTTACGGTGTTAAAGGTGGTTTTCTGTTTCTCTCTCATTTGACTTAGATGCATCGTGCCATGGGAAATGCTCCTTTGGCCCTCAATCAGCACTTATCCTGGGATAGCACAGGGCTTAGACAAACATCATACAGGAAGTATAGTTCCACTGGTGACCCTGATTATTATAAAATTGAGAGAGGAATGCCAAGCCCCAGCATACCATCTAGCAGTTGAGAACTCCCAATTCTCCAACAACTCAGTTTAGGCCTCAAGCTACAACTGTTTCTTGATTAGATCCAGAGGGATGTCTCAGCTTTCAGAAACAAGGCTTCAACAGTATTGTTGCCATTAGGGTCAGCATAGCCTGATAAGAGTCACTGTCATTAACTCCTAACATAGGCTCACACATTAAAAAAAAAAAAAAAATCATATAGAGATTAAGAACAGAGAAGGTCAAGTTTACTTTGAATTGCTTTTTCACCATTTGGAGTTGGAAGCCCCCAAACTTGTTGAATCAGTTTATACTGGCAAACAAAGATTACTATCATAATGGACTTACTCTCTTCCTTTATGCATTGGAGTCGATAGTGTCCACTGTTTGCTCAAGGAGAGTGTAAACAGGACTTGCTGGCGCCTGTGGCCAATGGACATGTCTTCTACACAATTTTCAACTGGCATGGGGTGTGCGTCCAATATTAAAGGGGTTGAACTGAGGGTGAGCATGGCAGCTCATACTTATAATCCCAGCACTTCAGGAGGCTAAGGTGCGCAGATCACCTGAGGTCAGGAGTTTGAGACCAGCCTGACCAACAAGGCGAAGCCCCATCTCTTCCAAAAAAAGAAAATACAAAGATTAGCTGGACATGGTGGTGCACTCCTATAATCCCAGCTATGTGGGAGTCTAAGGCAGGAGAATCACTTGAACTTGAGAGGCAGAGGCTGGAATGAGCCAAGATCGTGCCACTGCACTACAGCCTGGGCAACAGAGTGTTATCGTAATACCCATTCTACAGATCCAAAAACTGTGTGGTAAGTAGCAGGACTGAAACCCTGTTATGTTGCACTTCACAGCTTTGAGAAAAGTTACTCAGAGCAGAGCCAAATATTGTAATTTCAACAACACAGAAATTACTGAGTTTTGTTATCCTAATATTTTTTTGTGTCCTTCCAAAAAGATTTTCTTAAAAAGGTATTTTTGGTTGGAAGACATTCACTACCTTATTGTCTGAATTATGTTCCCACCATTTTAGAAACACCTTGAAAAAGACATGATGTGTGTAGGCAGAAACCCAAAGAAGAAGAGTAGAGATCAGCAGAAAATGAAATATTAAAGAACTCTGAACAAAGGAGAGTCACCTGCAGTCAGGTACACTAAAGAAAGTGTGCTGGGGAGAGGCCAAGCTACAAAAAGAATCCATTTAGCAGCCTGCAAGGTAACTGGATGTTTAATACCGAGGGAAGAGAGAGGTGATGGGATTCTACCATCCTTCCTGTGCATCTGCCACCTGCACGCTTCGTTTTTTTGAAGTCATTGAGAGAACCACAAGGCTTCTACTTTGCTACACTACTTTTTCTGGCCTTCCTAACTCCTTCCCTATCCCATAACTCTCCTCCTGCCTTTTTATTTATCTTACACCTCTATAAAATTCTTTGTTTATCTGCAACTTTTAAGATAGTTTTGCCTCAGAAGCAAAACAACTCATGCTTTCTTCCTCCCGTGTTCTGATTCCAGAAACCTGGGCCACTCCTCTTCTTGGAGCTTAGACCTTTGACCTTTCTAACTGAGCTCAGCACCCCAAACTGTGAGGGTGATTTTTTTCTAACTAGAAGATCGCAAAGGGCATTCTTAAATATACAAAAAACGCGTGATTCTATTACAGATTGACATTAAGTCATTTATTCAGTGTTGAAACTGGTCTTTTATTTCCACTTCATTATACACAATTACTCTATGCCACATTTGGAAAACATAATTTTTAAAATTTGTCTTTCTAAAAATATATTTATTTTTTAAATTCAGAGATTTAAAAAATAATAAAGTCAAGTGTGTGTATTTATTGTGTGCAACATGATGTTCTGAAGTACATATACACTGTAGAATGATTCAATCTATCTAGTTAACGTATGCCTTACTTCACATAGCTATAATTTTGTGATGTTTTAAGACTCCCAGAAAACACTATATGAAGTTGTAAAGAGTTCTTATCCAAAGCTCTTTTTAAATTCTATTTCTAAATGTATTAAACTTCATCCCATATCTTTCTGTATTATGAGGTCTATAGAGGCCTGGGACAGTGGCTTACATCTGTAATCACTGCATTTTGGGAGACCAAGGTGGGAAAATCACTTGAGGTCAGGAATTCTAGATCAGATTGGCCAACATGGTAAAACCTTATCTCTACTAAACATACAAAAATTAGTTGGGCATGGTGGCACATGCCTGTAGTCCCAGCTACTTGGGAGGCTGAGGCAGGAGAATCACTTCAACCCAGGAGGTAGAGGTTGCAGTGAGCCAAGATCATGCCTGGGTGACAGCAAGACTCTGTCTCAAAAATAAAATGAAATAAAATAAAATAAAAAGGTCTCTTATTTAATAAAATTTGATATAATATAACTGACATTTACCACTTTGGATCTTCTCAAGCCAGAAATCTAGATATTTCCCAAGTAAATCTTCTTAGGAAAAGCTGGAAACAAATTATGAAGTCCCAGAGTAACTGCAAATGGAAATGGTTCCAGGTGGTGACGGTGTCTTTTTCCACACCTACAGCCTGTGCTGTCTGTCTTCTGTTAAAACCCTCATAGAGAACATCACTGTGGCAGATAAGACTAGTCCCCTTCCCGATACCTATTCTCTGCCTTTTCATCCGTCAAATAATCCAGATTTTAAGATTTTGTTCCAGGTGAAGGGCTAGAATACATCAGAATACAGGGTTTATCAGGACATAACTCCATCATAAGTCGAGAAACATCTGTAATTCCATTTCTCAACCTCCTACAGCTAGCTGTGGTCAATGAAGTATAAGGAAAGTTAGAAAGTGAGACTTTAGAGACAATTCGTCAAGAAAAGTATAAACAGCTGGTATGTTCTTCTTGCTACCCCAGTTTCCAAACTCTTACCTGAAACGTAGGCTTGATGACTGGAGTCCCACTGTACCACTGTACCGTAAGAAGAGAAGCTAAGCATTATAGTCCCTCCATATCCATGGAGAAGACCTCCAGTAGATGGCTAAAACCATGGATAGTACTGAACCCTATATATATAGGCACACCTCAGAAATACTGTAGATTTAGCTCTACACCACTGCAATAGAGCAAATATTGTAATAAAGAGAGTCACATGAATTTTTAACTTTCCCAATCCTCTTAAAGTTATGTTTACACTATACTGTGGTCTACTTAGCATGCAATAACATTATGTCTAAAAACCCAATGTGCATACCCTAATTTATAATAAAATGCTTTATTATTAAAAAATGCTAGTGATCATCTGAGCCTTCAGCTAGTCGTGATCTTCTTACTGGTGGAAGATCTTGCTTTGATGTTGTTGACCGATGATTGATCACAGTAATGGTTGCAGAATATTGGTGTGGCTGTAGTAATTTCTCAGAATAAGACAACAATGAAACTTGTTGCATGGATTGACTCTTCCTTTCACAAAATGTTTCTCTGTAGCATGTGATGCTGTTTGATAGCATTTTACCCACAGCAGAACTTAGTTCAAAACTGAACTCAATCTTTTCAAATTCTGCCACTGCTTTATTAAATCAGTTTATGTGTTTATGTTATATTCTGAATCTTTTGTCATTTTAACAAAGTTCATAACTTCTTCACCAGGCATAGATTTCATCTCAAGAAACCACTTTCTTTGCTTATTCATAAAAAGCTACTCCTCATTCATTCAAGTTTTATGATGAGTTTGCAGCAATTCTGTCACATCTTTAGGCCCTGCTTAGTTTTCATGCTATTTCCACCACATCTGTAGTTACTTCCTTCACTGAAGTCTTAAATCCCTCAAAGTCACCCATGAAGGTTGCAAGCAACTTCTTCCAAATACCTGTGAATATTATTGTTTTGACCACCCATGAATCATGAATGTACAGATGCATCATAGGAATCACTAACTATGGCATCTATACCCTTGCAAAATGTATTCCTTAAATAATAAAACTTGAAATTTGAAATTAGTCCTTCATCTACAGGCTGCAGAATGAATGTTGTGTTAGCAGGCATAAAAACAACATTCATCTCCTTGTATAATCCATCAGAGCTCTTAGGTGACCAAGTACATTGTCAATGAGCAGTAATATTTTGAAAGGGATTATTATTATTTTTTCTGAGCAGTAGATCTCAATAGTAGACTAAAAATATTCAGCAAACCATGCTGTAAATAGCTGTGTTGTCATCCGGGCTTTGCTGTTTCACTTATAGAGCAAAGGCATAGCAGATTTAGTATAATTTTTCAGGATCCTAGGATTTTTGGAATGGCAAATGAGCACTGGCTTCAACTCAAATTTACCAGTTGCATTAGCCCCTAATAAGAGAATCAGCATGTCTTTTGAAGCTTTGAAGGGAGGCATTAACTTATATCTAAATATGACTTCTGTCTAGCTATGACTTCTCTCTCTCATTTAAAAGATGGCATCATCTTCCAATAGAAGGCTTTGTCTATATTTAAAATTTACTGTTTATTGCAGACATCTTCATTAATTACCTTAGCCAGATTTTCTGGATAACTTGCTGCAGCTTCTATAAGAAAACTTGCTGCCTCAGCTTGTACTTTCATATTATAGAGATGGATTTTTCCTTAAACCTCATGAACTCACCTCTGCTAGCTTCAACTTTTCTTCTGCAGCTTCTTCACCTCTCTAAGCCTGCACAAAATGAAAAAGAGTTCGGACCTTGCTCTGGATTAGGCTTTGGTTTAAGGGAATATAGTCGCTGGTTTTATCTTCTATCAAGACCACTAAGATTTTCCCCATCTCAGCAATGAGGCTGTTTTGTATTTGTAATTAGCAATCATTCATGCATTTACTGGAGTAGCACTTTTAATTTTCTTCAAGAGCTTTTCCTTCGCATTCACAGTTTGGTTAACTGGCACAAAAGATCCAGTTTTTGGCTTGTCTCAGCTTTTGATATGCCTTCTTCACTAAGCTTAACAATTTCCAGCTTTTAATTGAAAGCGACAGGCATGTGACTCTTCCTTTCATTTGAATATTTAGAGACCATTGCAGGGTTATTAATTGACCTAATTTAAATATTGTATCTCAAGTAATAGGGAGACCTGAGCAGAGGGAGAGAGAAAGAGGAATGACTAGCTGGTGAAGCAGTCAGAACACATAACATTAATTAAGTTCACCATCTTATTTGGGAAAGTTTCCTGGTGCCCCAAAACAAGTACAATTGTAACATCAAAGGTCACCAATCACATCACTGCAAAAGATATAATAATAATGAAAAAGTTTGAAATATTGTGATAATTAATAAAATGTGACTCAAAGACACAAATTTAGCACATGCTGTTGGAAAAAATGGCACTGAAAGACTTGCTGGGTGCAGTGTTGTCACAAACCTATATTTGCAAAAAAAAAAAAATGCAATATATGAGAAGTACAATAAAGTGAAGCACAGTAACATGAGGTTTGCCTGTACTATGATTTTTTTTCTATTCATTCATACCCATGAAAAGTTCAATTTATAAATGAAGCACAGTAAGAGATTAACAACAATAGCTAGTAATAAAATAGAACAATTGTAATGATATGCCAACATCACTACTCCTGAGACATAGGGCCAC